TAAAGAGGAATTTACAAATATATATGTATACACTCACACAAACCCACAAACACAAATACATAAGATAACATGAGAGAGTAAAAGGGAAACATATGTAAAAAAGTAATAAAAGTCTTAAATCATTTGAAAAAGTATCAATTTAAGAAGGGGAAAAGAGGAGAGATACATGCGTTAAGTTTAGCTCATAGAAACCAAAAATTAAATTAATTAAAATACATAACAATAATATAAGCATATGAAGATAACAAACCAAAAATTAAAGGTGCTTCATAGAAAGATATATATAGTAACAAATTATGAAAATTTTCTTTATTTTTTAAAATTAAATTAATTAAATTTTTATGCTTAAATCTTTTTTCATCCCTACCATTTAAATCTTTTTTTAAATTAATACATTTAAAATTACTAATTATGAAAAAAAATATTCTAAACTGTATTTATAGTTAATTATTATTATAAAAATTATAATTATTAAAAATCTTTAAAAAAAAAAATAAAGACAAACCATGCAAAACACAGCTTAAGGTCTAGTTAATATAATAAATTGAGAAGGCCGTAGTATAGGCCACTGAGGCAAACTCCCATATATATATATATATATATTCTTATGTTGCATAATGGGTGGTAACCAACTCTCTCCTCTCACTTGCATATCATTACTACTAAACAACTTAAATCGTAGGCAAAATTACTTTATTTTTAATTGTTGATGATAAAGGGATTGATATATAATATTAAGGACTACTCCTCTATCAATAGCTATCAATAGTTATAAGAAATGTAATCTGCACATTAATTTTCTAAAGAAATCGATTATAGGCAATACAAACACAAACTTTTAAAGGTGTTTGTCATGGTTTAAAAAGGAATTTACTTTTAAATAAATTTAATAAATTTTTCCCTCACAAATTTAAAAATGGGAAGTGATATGCACATAATTTTATTGGAAAATTTTCTATACAATTTTTCTATACAATTTTTACATATCATTAAATATGCATATAATATTCTTGTTCTTAGTAAAGTAAAAAAAGCTAATTATTAAATAATATATAAGTTTCTATCAAAAAATTATACAAAAATATTGTCTCTTAATTATTTTCCTTTATTAGAGAAAAAATTGATTTTAAAAATGAGTTATGGATACATAATTTTAAATTTATAAGAGAGGAATTTGGTTAAAAGTGAGTTACTTTTTAAGCTCTACCAAAACATGTCTTTATCAAATTGGAATTGAGGTTTCAAACTTAGATTGTTATGAAAATAAGGATGCAATCTCTATAGTTTTAACACTAATTAGTACACTATTCAGTTCAACACACTACACAATATACTTAGTAAAAAATTATTATTTTTTGGTTTAAAATTAAAGGCAAACAAACTTAAAGACACAGTCATGCATATAAAATGTAGAAATTGATTGAATCAATTATGCTTATATTATATTTTAAGAATTGAACTGGACGAGTGTCAAAAAATATGTTGAATCAGAGGATATACTAATTATTTTCTTTATAATTTTTACTAGCTTGAAATAGTGCAATGCTACAAGTATATTGCTACAAGTATATTGCCACTTAATATTTTAAATTAGATAATATGTAATATGAGATGACATTAAAAGGATGCATATAATATCATACAAGATTTCAAAATATAAATAGTAAATTATAT